ATTACGAGACAAGTGCTAACTTGGAATCCTAAAAGGAAGAGGAAAAGAGGAAGGCCAAAGAACACATTACGTCGGGAAATAGAAGCAGATATGAAAGGGATGAATGAGAACTGGAAAGAGCTTGAAAGGATTGCCCAGGACAGGGTTGGATGGAGAATGCTGGTGAGTGGCCTACGCTCCTTCACGGGGAGTAACGTGCGTAAGTAAGTAAGTAATATACACTCTGAAGTTTAAATATTATGCACTATTATGCAACGAATGCTGTAAGCATTAAGGAATTTAAGTTAATTAATCCATATGACATAATGTAAATTTTAAGAAACAAATTATTTTGCTTAAGGACCATTTATTGGTATTAAAAAATAACAGAATGATGAGCTGACATCACATAACACTAATCTTGGTGTTGAGTCTCACTGAGAACTAAGCTTATAGAACTAAATCAGGCTTAAAAACTAACAAAGACCACATTAATTTTTACTCGGAGACCGACTGTAGTAAAAACGGTAATGATATAAAAAAATTCGGTGTCAAAAATGGTCGGTAATAATAGATTTTGTATTGACATTTTTTAGATCCTGTCCTAATTCTTCAACGATACTCCAAACAAATAGTAGCTAGGATGAAACGTGGGTCCACGACTCTCTACCAATGGTCTACAGGCGATATATTTCATCATAAAAATTGCTTCGGACAGAATAACGTGTATTATTTTGCTTCCTTAAATACTTCCGAAAAAAATTCAATTTCGATAACTGACGTAAAACTACGTAACTAATTTGGAAGACCAATTGTACTGTTGAAACAGTAATGGGTTATCAAATACTGAAAAAAATGTACATGATACCTCTTAACTTTAAGAAGTAAAATTTACGTCAACTGACAGAATGACGATTTCGCTAAATAATCAGGTTTCATGAAAGAGAACCACAAAGCCTTCTGACAATTATACCATCATTGACCGTAAAAATTCTATTTATTAGGTATATACCACAAATGATTACATACCCTACAAAACGAAGCATATTTTTATGATATTACCAATTGCTTTCATATCATACTGAACATTACTTGATTGTATTATCAAAAAACAATCAGTGAGATAGAATCTTATCATAATTGAATACAGCCATAGAGTGACATCAACTAAGGAACCATTTTAAAGCAGAAAGAACCAGTCAACTATCCCATTATAATTGAGGGTGAAAATCTATATTCAGTGACCAATAGTTGATCTTGCCACAGTGTAACAAATTCCATATTATCCATGACGTCACAATAAAAGAGGATACTAAGTTAACAAACTGTATACGTTTACCAACAACCTGACTTGTCATTTGAAGATCATTTACAAGTAAAACGATTTTCCATGTTGAATGTCATGATTTTAAAGAATACTAAATAATATTTGGAAGAAAACACGTGCAACTGAATTCGACACTACACTTCATGAGATCAAGTTGAAATATATAAATTGACAAGAGTTATTAACTATATCAAACGACTGGATTATGAAGACTTCGACATCTGAGGGAAAACACGGCATACAATGGACAGCTCAGAACCAATTAGATGACTTGGACTTCGCAGATGACCTAGCCCTCCTATCACATACATACGAACAAATGCAGACAAAGACAGCCAGTATAGCAGCAGTCTCGGCATCAGTAGGCCTCAAAATACACTAAGGGAAAACCAAGGTCCTCAAACACAACACGGAGAACAGCAATCCAATCACTCTTGATGGCGAAACTCTGGAAGATGTGGAATCCTTCACATACCTGGGAAGCATCGTCGTCAGACAAGGAGGTTCAGATGCAGACGTAAAGGCGAGGAGTGGCAAAGCAAGGGCGGCATTCCTTCAATTAAAGAACATATGGAACTCAAAACAACTTTCAACCAACATCAAAGTCAGAATCTTCAATACGAACGTCAAGGCAGTTCTACTGTACGGAGCTGAAACGTGGAGAACTACAACAACCACCATCAAGATGGTACAAGTATTTATCAATAGCTGTCTACGCAAGATACTCAACATCCATTGGCCGGATACCATCAGCAACAGCCTTTTGTGGGAGAGAACCAACCAGCTTCCAGCTGAAGAGGAAATTAGGAAAAGACGATGGAAATGGATAGGACGTACATTGAGGAAATCATCAAACTGCATTACGAGACAAGTGTATGACATAACTATGTTAGGTATCATTACCAAGGTTTGATATGATAATTTCGAATAAATTGAGCATTGGGTTGATTGTTATAAATAAATAATATATTTGTAATATCCCAATGAGTAGAAAATTAGATTTTCTGACGTTTCGTGACTTAGTGTAAGCCACTTCTTCAGAGAATAAATAAACAAATTAAAATTAATCCAAGTTTAAATAGTACAACGGAACGATACAAGAATAATAATAATTATTATTCTTGTATCGTTCCGTTGTACTATTTAAACTTGGATTAATTTTAATTTGTTTATTTATTCTCTGAAGAAGTGGCTTACACTAAGTCACGAAACGTCAGAAAATCTAATTTTCTACTCATTGGGATATTACAAACATATTATTTATTTATAACTATGTTATGTCATTCTGGGTCGTTTGAGGCTTTTCTTAGACTGAAAAAACCTCGGCATTTGAAGATTTGTTAATTTCGAGGATACGGTCGGCAAATGCAGCCAGATCGTCTACGGCGTTGTTTTGAAACAAGATCAGCACAGCTCGCACCTGTTGAGGACGTTTTGATAAGAAACGTTGTATGAACAGGCCATCATCGAAGGTTCTTTGGCCAATAACTCCTCCCATTCATTGCATCATGTCTGTGGTAGAACCGTGTTGCAGATCGATGTTGTTAAGGAGTTGGTCTAACCTTTGTCGATCGGTAAGATCTCGGCGTTAAAGGATGGATCGTTCAAGAGTTTCGTAGGGTTCTGTAACATCACTAGTAAACATACTAGGTGTTATGTACCTGTTGAATTCGCGCGGTAATGCCTTGACTACTGCGAGGAATTGTGCACGTTTGTCGTTCAAACCGTGCTCGTAGAAGTCGGTTTCTGCGTAAAAAAACCAGGCTTCGATGTTATTTCGTGCCTTATGGTAACCCTCGCGTTATTAATAGAAGAAACCAGACTCGTAGGAAAATAGGTCTTTATTTTGATTTTCGCGCAGTCACAGTGGAACGTGGGCTTCCCTACTCAGACAAACAATACCTCTCAACATACAATATAACATAATTAGAAATATAACGCCTAAACAAACTAAAGAAATGAATAAATATCTGAACTATGCTGCTTTGATACATGCTTAGTTGCCTGAGATCAACTTTTAACCAACCAAACTAAGCTGTTGCAGTTTTCTGGCCAGAAAGGCATAAGTTGGAACGAAGGCGGGGACACAGTCTTTAACTTAAATACCTTAGGTGTCTTTTCAGTCATGGTGATATATCAAGTATGAGGATGAGCGAGTGAGAAATATATGTCCAAAAACACGGAAAAACACCACAATGTATTAAAAAGTAAAATACGGCAATGATATATAAAATCCCAAAAAGGAACAGACTCACAGTTTGCGATTTGGTGTATCATATCATGTCGGGCTAAACAGTGAAGATGTCACAGGTATTCAGAGTTTGACAACGCTTTAACCAGTAACACCTTCTAATATAAAGCGTACCCACCAAGTGAAATCAAAAGACAGAAGTGAGGAGGTTCGAAGATATATTTGATAGGCTATCAATATATCAAGGATCGTCTGATCTAATCTGGCTAGCGATTGCAGTAGATGTTGAGCACGGCGTTCCCACACGTGATCTGGTGTGGATGCATGACTGAGCGCCTTCAGCTAGATGAGTCCATTAAAACTAATGTGGTCAGCACCCAATGTCGAAAACTTACAGAGCTATTTATTTTGGGGATTTATTTACCACTACACTATAAACTAATAATTCCGTTGTACTTGATCATTGCCTCGGGGTGTACTTACCACTACAGCCATACTCAGTGAATGGAACCATAGTGTTTATTATATCAACATCAAACGGTATGAGAAAATCTGGCGTGTGTACGAAGGCGAGATACTGTGGCAGTAAATAAATCTCCAAAATAAATATTTATGTAAGTCTTCTAGATAGATACTAACTTCATTAATTTTAGTGGACACAACGTAACTGAGGGTGCTCGGTCACGTATCTGCATCATATCACGAGTGTTATCCGTGCTGTCTATTCCTCGCAATTACTAGCCAGCTTGGATAAAATGCCTCTTCACATACAGACAACCTTCCAAATATATCTTGAAACTCATTTATCCCTAACTTCTAATCTGACTGGGTTGGTATCCTTCGATTAAAAAGGTGTTACGGATAATTGCATTGTAAAAACGTCAGCTCAGTTCAGTAAATCAAGTTAAAACTTCACCAAGAACGCCATGAATCATTGGAATCTTACACACTATCCCTTATCAACTAGTAAGATCTTAAAAACTCTTGAGCATTCTACAGATTATAAACTCAAGCTCATTTTCAGTGCGAAGCTTAGAAGTCATGTCCAGGAATAAGAGGTTCAGTGCAGCAAACTGTGATAAAGGCACAAATCCTACTTCTGAGGAATGATCAAGTTTTTGAATTCGTTGTTGACTTGTACGGCCCAAACAACTTCGCACAAGTCCTTCAAAAGGAATATGATTAGGGACCCAGAACAGAATTTGACACTGATTTATTAATGCTCCTCATCTGCCTGGGACATGTATCTAAGCTCATTAACTTGGGCAACGGTTATCCACTGCCACTAGATATAAGACCTAGTTGGGAGGAAGCTTCGCTAATTCCATTTGCAAACTTTTGAGACATTTGTGGTATTCTTGGTTAAATGCCTCGAGATATGTTGTGCAAGATCAATTACTAATGGACACAGCAACCTGTTGTACGTAAAACATTTCTATATAGTATACTTAACTATGAGATAGTTTAAGATTTGTTAAACATATTCAAGACATAATATTTAGTAGGCGCAGTAGTCGATTCAAGGACATGGAAGGCAGTAACAATCGGGAAGATGAAGAGGTACTTCGTTTTCTAAGTTTTCATAGAATTTTGAGTAGGTGGAACAACCCGTGCTTGTGGAAGAGCCATTGGACCTCATTAGACTAAGCTTGGATGAAAAAATCTACGTTAAGATGAAACGTAACCGTGAATTGCGAGGTGTCTTACACGTATGTCAATATGTGATTTCACACCCTTTTGATAGATGCTATATCTTTCTCTAGCGTTTTGCTTAGATTTGGTTTCTTGTGAGAGTATGAACACTTGGGCGTTAATTGCAGATTTTCAACCCTTAGATTGAAGGGTTTCAAGCTCGTTGATTCACTGACTAAAGACTTAGTGTAAATACTAGGGTGTTGATATCTGTCATGACAAAACTATAACATCCACAATCTAAACTTTTTGCTAGATCAAGATATCACCTGCACTTTCTAGTTTTTCTCGTTAAAATTAAGTTTAGTAACTCAGTGTTCTGACTAATTATACTCAGTATTTTCCTAAATAAGATGTCATGTCTGTGTAAACATATTACTGACTCGTGTCTCCAGATTATACTATGTAGACTCAAGTTTCGGACTTAAAAATTCTTTGTTCTCTGGGGAAAGTTTATTTTCGAAACAAGTATTTTGTGCTTAAAATATTATGCCGTTATAAAACAGATCGTGATTTTGACACAAGTTGTTTTATGATCCCTATTTAAACACTTCATACAGTACACAAAGCTTTTTATATATATCTACTTTCATTGTATTAATGTACTATATTTTCCAGGCGGTAACTAACACCCATCTTTAAGTAGCCATAATACTGATCCCACTTAATCCATTACTCAGTTTACCCATGTATTTCGTAATGTACCTGGCAAGTTTGACTAGTATAAAACTTACTAATGAACATTCTACTGTAATATGTGCTTTGTCCTTTGTTTCTCCTCCGTCATCGCTTCTCACGTTAGATTATGCAAGTCAGTTTATTCTGTAAATTTATTTTATATTCATGTAAACCTTGTAAACATAGGTGTGTTTTATTTATTTATTTATTTTAACACATAGGTATTGGTACAAGGAGGCACCAAATACATATGCGCCACACGAATCTCAATTGATTTGTGTGAGGGCTGTGATACTGCCCGGGTGCCCAAACCGAAGCAGGTACATAGGTGTGTGCGTTTCACCCTGCGGCAGTCCTATGCTTTATTTATCATTGCTTTTTTGCCAAAATTTCTAGTTAATAATCACGCGGTGATATTTCAAAACTGCAGTTTACTAATTGGTGACCTTCCTTATTCCAATAAGCTCAATGTTAAGATTTTAGTAGTCAAGGCACTCGGCTCTCATCCAGTCGACCATCAAATGCCCTGGTACGGTTGATGGTCGAGTCCACTATCTCATGGTCATACGTATATAGCCACTGTCAGGGAAGTCCTACTCACTGCCTTGTTGATTAGACATCTATATCAAAGGCTCGAGGAGTGACCCCCTAAGAAAACCACTTGGTTCGGTTTGGGCGCTCAGGCACTATTCCAGCCCTCCCACAAATCGAATGATTAGGTGTGGCGCATACATATTTGGTATGTTCAAATAGGTAAATAAACAGCCGGTCGCCAGTTAGGATGCATTTATATTTCAGGGCGGATATTCCCTCTTTATATTTCGCTTAAACTATGATTTACAAAATTTAATAATTTGCCTCGTCTCTTTCTACATTCCATTCATATTCATGCCCACACCATAGACTTTTGGTGACTGCAATTTACTCGTGTATTTTGCTCCGATGATCTCAGACCAATAGGTATCCCACGTGACCCACTATCTGAGCCATCAAATTAAATAATGTATGAATTGGCATGTGAAAATAATTGGTTTTGAAACTTCAGTGATATATAGCCAGTGTGAAGAATTCATGTATTTTACATGAGTTGTCTGGTGGTCAGATTGTTTTGTTATTCATCTGTATAGGCAGCATCATCAAAAGTGCATTATTTTAGTATTTTCGGTACCATATTTCGTCAAGTCTAGGAGTATTAGTATACTGTTTGAATACACACATTTCTCAGCCCTACTGATCCTAAACTTATGTGCCAAATGTAACATCTGCTAGACATAAGTACAATATAATGCTTGATATTATCTACTGGAGGAAGTGTTTCTTTTTGATTCTAAAGATTCATCCAACGGCCTGAGTGGAGTGTGTTAAATACTAAGAAAGCTTTCCACAAATTTGTAATGACTTTATTACCAATCTCTACTTACTGTTAGATTTGAGACAATGTTTGTCATGAAAGACAATGCTAGTGCATGTAGTCATTGATAAAGGTGTTCAGAATTTTCATAAAGGGCTATAAAAACCAACCGAAAGAATTTGTTGCCCTAGCCTAACATCATAAAAGTTTTGACAAAAACACTACTATGCTTCATTTATCATGACTGGGTAAGGACCCTTCATGTTTTTCACTTTTGGCGATGATCAGTTAATGGTAAACCGAGATAATTGACAAGTAGTTACGCTAGGCTTGTCTATTATTATTGCTAGACTAAGCAACATGAAATTGATGTATAGTTGATATGTATTTAGTTTACCTATATCTGCACATATCGCTCTTTAGGTTTTGATGACAATACTGTGTCTTACATGAAGTGACCTGAGACTGTGATAAATCCGGAACCAACTGCACTCACAGTTAATGCACGGTATATGAGATTAGTTTATCCTTCTTTATCCTATAAGTGACATCTGTACTACATTTTTGTTTGATTTGAAATGTGGTTCTTTATGTTCTTGCCTTTTGAACGTGATCCTTTCAATGTAGATTCGGTTAGAGGTAGTGTCCTTACATGCTAGCATCAAGTGGTAATAATAATAGGTCCATTATTTCATATTGGTCAGTTATAATACGAGTCATTAGCCATTAAACAAGTATAGTATATTAAAACAATTAGTTCCCCAGATGTAAACAGTTTAATGTATTTTAACTGAAACAGGCTTTCGACTCACATTTGAACATGATCTTGGGGAATGTTGAAGAAACTGTAACAACATTAGAGATAGATGAGGAAACATATGAAGAAGTTTACAAGGTAATCTATTTTGACCTCTAATAAAATACCTTCATTGCAGACTACAAAACGAACAATACCCATGCTGTTTATTCGCGGAGATGGTGTTATCCTAGTTTCGCCTCCACAAAAGGATTAACTCTTGTACAGTCAATTTTCATGCATCGTAATCCATATTCATCAATAAAACATGTCATTTAACAACAGTTTGAATATTCCGCTCAGTGAACAGCCTTATAACTTTTTACCGGGACTGTAACACATTTAGCACACTAACAGTTTTTTAATAACCTATCCCGATCTTGTAGTCCTCTGCAAATTAACATGCAAGCATTGAGCTATTCATTTTCAAAACGAAAGAGAATTTTTTTACTAGGAAGTAGATGTGTATCGACCAGAAAATAGTAAGACATTTTCAGAAATTTTCAACGAAGAGTTCGATGAAAATGAGAACACAAGACCATAATATGCCGATTATTTATTAGGAAAACTCTAGCAATGTATATACTGATTCTCAAAGTTTTAATACCAAACTGTGGTACTCCAATGAGAATCCAGTGAAACTTTTCTATGCTTTAGCATACATTATTATTTAGTCATAAATTCAAGCAGGTGTTTGTATGCATCTGACATAGATGCCGAGTTCGTGCATCCCAAATCCGTCTCTCCCTAGAACTTAAAAGACTTTCTGAGTAGAATTTAAGAATGGTAATCAATACTGTTCCAAAGTTCTGGATAATAATTGGAGTTATTGGACCAAGTTCTGTGTATATTGTAGTTCTACCAATGACTGGTTTGAGTAAAATAGCAATAATATTTGACCATAACACTGGGTACTTCAGGTCGGACGGTGTCACAGAAATTTAATTCACTAGGGCAATAGCTAAGAAATGTTTTTTAAGGTTAATAAAGTTTCAGTGAAAAGATGATTACCTATGTGCTTCTAAAAAGTATGTACCTCATCGGGAATTTAAATGTGGGTAAGTTGATCAAATATCACTTTATTAAACAAGTTCACAAAATACCAAACAATAGAAAGCACTGTCAGCGCCACGTTTCGGAGAAGTACTTCAGTAAAGATCGCAGTGATTGTTCATAGCTTAAAAAAATTCAATATAAGTATCATACTTTCTGCATACTTCAATCAAAACATGGACGTAGCTGATAAATAATCACTCCTCAAACATTAACCAACTTAACCGATAGATTGTTTATCGAGTGGCATCTCCCTGGCGAACTTTACTAGACTATTATATCTAGCTTGGCAGTTGTACGACAATTAATGACCCAGTCACTGATAATGAAAACCAGTGTAATTGAAGGTCCAATGATTGCTTTGTAAGTCTCAAAATAGAAGCGAGGTGAACCGTTTTTATAACCGTACTGAGCCCCCAAATGCCCTGGCATGGCTTTAACCGGATCCCAAACCATTGGTACACATGGGCTCTAGTATCCTGAGGAATCAAATGGCGTATGAATTAATCGTTGGTCACCGGCTACCATGGGACTGCATCTCCCCACGATGCTCCACTGCCTTTGGGTCAGACCTTTAGGTCAAAGGCTCCGGGTGTGGCACCCTAAGGAAACCACCTGCTTCGATCTGGGCACCCGGGTAGTATCACAGCCCACACACAGTTAAAATGAGAATGGCGATATTTGCTAAAAAATTTATTCTCGCTTCGATTTACAGTCAAACAACTCACATTGTTATTATTATTTACGTCATTTATTCACTCTCTTTTATTCCAACTTTATGTATCCTTATTTTTCGACTAATACAGCAGCTCGCCTATGGTGGACATTCGGCTCTATCTAAACGTTCTCGTGTCACTGCCTGGTTGAAAATTGTATGCTACCACCGAATACTGAAGCAGTTTTTCTGAAACCACGTCCACCATTCAAACTGGTTGCCTTCAACGTTCGCACAGTTATGTAGGTCGGACAACAGAAAGGGCTGTCTGTCTTTGGAAAGTCTTAATATTGACGTTTGTTGTCTATCCGAGACCCGTATTCAAGACTCTGGTGAAGTACTACAAATTCGCTCTCCATCTGTCACTTCAAAAAGCTCGTTTTACGTGTGTCTATCCTGAGACCCTGTGGCATCTTCGTTTAGTCTTGCTGGCGTTGGTGTCGCACTAAGCGTTAGAGCTGAGGCAGCCCTCACCGACTGGATCCCCATTAACAGTCGGTTATGTGCCATTAGATTAGAAAGTTCCATTTAAGTGAGAAATCGGCGTGAGAAACGATGTCTCTTCGTCATCTCCGCCTATACCCCGACAGATTGCAGCCCGGATGCAATCAAGGATGAGTTCTACCACCAGTTAACTGTTCTTCTCCAGAAAGTGCGTTCGATGGATATTGTAGTACAAGCCGGAGACTTGAGTGCTCAGGTCGGGAGTCTAGGCACAGAATAGAGTCGTTTAGATGGCCGATAAGGACTTGTTGGTCGCAGGACAGACAACGGGGAACATCTACTGCAGCTGTGCACAGACCACAACCTGTTTCTGGCTAGCACTAACTTTCGGCACAGTCATCGCCGATGTGCCACCTGGAGTCCTCCTTCTGCTCTCAAGCCTGGACTCAGATTGATCACATCGCGATCAGCAACCGCTGGCGTGGTTGTGTACAAGACTGCCGCTCTTTTTGGAGTATCTATCTGGACTGTGATCATGCCTTGGTCTGCGCCAACCCTACCTTACTTTTCAGTGGCAAACGAAGTGACCGCCACCAAAGCATTAATGTCAGCAAGTTGGTTGAAACTTCTGCTGTAACTGAGTATCGAACCGAGCTAGCTACCATTCCACCGAAAAGTATAGATGAGCATTGGTCGCAACTTCACGACGCCATGAAAATGGCGAGTAAGGCCGCTTCCGGCTCATAAGCACTGGGTTTCTTCTGGTTCCTTACAACTCATTGAAGCCCGTCGGTCTAGTCCCGGTAACCGTGAGTTTGGCCAAAAACGGCGACTGTTACGCAATGAAATTGAACAAACATTGCGTAAGGACCGAGAAACCTGGTGGTTGGAGAGTGCTAATGATCTGGAAGCAGCAGCTGCATCTGGTAACTACCAGAAGCCCCTCCAACTCATCCGAGCCACTGTCAGCAAGAAGTCCAGTGTGAGCGAAACAATCTACGAGGATAACGGGGTGCCAATCACTAACATCCATCGACGTCTTGGACGATGGGCAGTTCAACTGGCCCGCTGCTCCGGCAACATCGGTCAGACTGTCCTGCCCTCCATGGCCGGTGACGACTGATCCACCAAATGAGACGGAAGTCCGCAAGGAACTCCAACTCTTGAAGCGTTACAAATCACTGAGCCAAGACGACATACCTCCGGCTCTATTTCAAGATGGTGGTGACTTTCTGACTAAGGGACTGACGACGTTGTTTGCAAAGGTCTGGGAACTAGAGAGTGTACCAACGTCATGGAATGAGTCGATAGTTGTCCCTATCTTTAAAAAGGGTTCACGTTGTTCCTGTAACAACTATCGGGGGATAAGTCTACTTCCGATTGCGTCCAAGCTATTGGCTTCCATCATACTTTGTAGGTTGTCCAAAACACGAGAAGGATTGACCCGCGAGGAGCAGGCTGGTTTTCGTTTCGGTCGAAGATGTATTGATCATATCTTCACCCTCCGCCAAATGTTAGGACACCATCATTCTTGTCACAGGCCAACAATCGTAGTGTTTCTTGACATCAAGGCTGCCTTCGATTTGTTGGACAGGATTGTCTATTGAAGAAGGGTGTTTGAGTGCCCTATATACAAACACATCAGGTAGAGTGAGGACATGCAACCACCTTTCTCCATTGTTCTATTCAAGTAGTGAGGTCAGATAGGAATGTCCAACCTCACCATTCTTCAACTTTGCCATCGATGACATTCTGGAAACAACTCTGATGGATGTAAGTAATGGGGGTGTGGATCTGTTACCTGGAGAAAGACTTCTCGACCTTGAGTATGTGGATGATATTATCTTACCGTGCAAGAATGCCCAAGCCATTCGTCCGCACTGAATCAGTTGGCAATCAATGTACGGTATGTGCTCTGCTCTATGCTTGTGAAACCTGGCCTCTCCGACTCTGTGTTTGATCATTGTTGTCTCTGAAGGATTGCTGACATCTACTGGCAACAGCATGTCAGTAATGCAGAAGTTCGGCATCGTGTGTTCGGGCACAGAGACGATAATGAAATTGGTGTCACCATCTTGAAACATCGACTTCGGTGGCTTGGACCTGTTCTACGAATGTCGTCCCAGAGAATTCCTCATCGTGCATTATTTGCCGACTCGAACTGGTTGGAAAAAGCGGAGAGGTGGTCAGTGTATGATATGGTGGTATGAAAGAAAGCTGCATAGGACTGACTTGTGTTGGTCCTTCATGACTCTCTGGCTGGGGTCCGAGAGATGGTGCAACACAGTGGCTAGAGACGTTATCAGATATGGCTCAGAATAGAAGCCAGTGGCGATCCTGCTGTAACGTTCTTTTACTTTCTTCGTAAAGAGTGGTTGCTTCTTCCTTAACTGAGAGATTTCTCCTAATTGTACCTTTTCGTTTCCCGCAGTATTATTATTATTACACTACTTTACACTAATCTGTTCGTTATTGTTCTTTTTTTTACTCTCCTTACCCTACTTTCTTTTACTCCCTTCTCTTTAAATCCTCATTGTTTTGTGTGGCGCAGATATATTTGGTGCCCGATCGTACTAATATTTGTGTTCAAATAAAATAAAAAATAATAATATCGTACTGACATTTGTGGCTGCGTAGTTTACGCACAATCACATAGTGTTCCGTATGGTAGATAGCGAACCACACTTAGCAGTTTACCAATCGTGAAAACCAATTAATCATAACCAACACAACCTGACACCAACGATTATCGGCTAAATTATCTGTAACAACGCCTCCCATTTTCGAGTATAGGTCAAAATTAAGAGTTACTCCCAAGATGAGTGTTCATTTATAGCTCTGGAAATATAAAAGTCCCACACAAACATGATTTACTTCAAACTTACAACATGAAATGGGTAGAAGTATCTGAAGTAACACATACACTTAAATCGGAAGAGTTAGTTAGGCCTGAGAACACTAAGTGGGACCGCGCTACACTCGGGTCTAAAAGAAAGGAAAGTGAAAGTGTTATTCAACCTGATATCTATGCTTCATATTCTAGAGAAAGGATAGTTGAACTATAAACGTTCGCACGAAATCAAGCTATAAAAAATGTTCAAAATAACTAATGCACAATGTATGACAATTTACGGGAAAAAAAGTTAAAGTGATCAAACTGATAGATTGAGATCAATTTCATTGACAGTATTTCTGATATGTAGGCTGGATTGTTCGACAAAACGT